CATGTATTTCCGGATATAAAAAAGGCCAGACAACGAATGAATTATTTTCTTTTTTACATCGATCGCGCAGGATGGCTCCAAAGAAGGGTTCCTCGAAGGGCGACGATAGCGGCTCGATTCCGGAGGGCGACTACGAGAAGGGCAAGAAGGTAAATCTTCTTTTATGCAAATTCGCGCCAACGCAAATCTACTTCTATCTGCAAACCTGATCAACCCCCGCGTCTTCTAGGTGTTCAAGGCGCGGTGCGCGCAGTGCCACGTCGTCGACTCGCTGCAGACGAAGACCGGGCCCACGCTCAACGGGGTGATGGGCCGGAAAAGTGGCACGGTGCCCGGGTTCGACTACTCGCCCGCCAACAAGAACAAGGGCGTCGTGTGGGAGCGGCAGACGATGTTCGACTACCTGCTCGACCCGAAGAAGTACATCCCGGGCACGAAGATGGTGTTCGCCGGGCTGAAGAAGGCCGACGAGCGCGCCGATCTCATCAAGTACATTGAGGTGGGTTGTTTTCTGGGCTTGCGCCTAGCTTTAGGCTTCTGGGCGCTTGGGCTTAGGTTTAGGCTTGGTCCTTCACTTGGACTTGGGCTTAGGCTTAGGCTTGGCCAGAAGCCATTCTGCCTACAAGCTGTGAAAATCCCGGAAATTCACCGTCTCTAACATCCGCTTCTTCCAGGTCGAGTCCGCCAAGAAGCCGCAGTAAGCCGTGCCGCCGCCAGCAGCTGCTGAGAAGCCGAACCCACAAACACTCCTTATCTGCTACGCACAACCATTCCTGTTCCAAATAAAGTCGTTCAAGTCTTGGCCGCAGATGCTTCATCGATTCTATTTCTACAGTATGCAAATTAGCCCACCCATTTCCGAAATCAGTGAAAACTGACTTGAACCTTGTAAGCTTGTATTTTCTCGGGATTCTGCATAAGCAACGGAAAGAGGGTCGATTTCCCCACGAGACCAAGGATTAGAGCATCTTAGACCCGGGAAAGCCCTCAAATACACTCTAAATTACATATGCGCAGATAATTCATCGAATTTTCATCTCGCACCCAAGTATCAATTCAGCTCCATATCCAACTGCACAATTTATTATGCACAACGGCGCACATTGACGGCCGACAAAGACGAGAGGAACAAGAAAATTTGAAGGGCCGGGCGTGGCGGGGTGAGCGCCAGCTCAAAACGGCACAACCCAAACACAGGAGGAGAGGCGAACAGTTTCTATGCACAGGGGATCACGAGATATATAGACGTCGAGGGCATTTGGTAAAGCTCGAGCCGGGAGCTCAGGGAGCTTCTGAAGGTGTATTAAAGATCATTAGCCTTGATTTTGAGCTATTATGCTATTCTTAGTTGATTATTACAAGATTTAATGCGATTTACGGCTTTTCTGAACAGCTTACTGCAAAACCGTCCTGGGCTCCCTGAACCCCTTCAGCTCGAGCTTTACTAACTGGCGACGACGACAAGGGGAACGGGGAAGTACACAAACAAACAGATATCGGTGGAGGTTGGGATCCGTTGCTTTTTACCCACATATATCAACAACAAAGAAGAGGAGAAGGAGAAGCTTGGAACGGGGGAGCGGCAGACGCGAACCGGGGAATTTTGTGAGCACCGTAATTGGGACGGCAGCGCGCGTTCGCGGGAGAACGAAGACGACGCTGACACAAGTGAAACGAGGATTTGTTCAAGGGGGCGGCTAGATGAGGGGGGGGGACAAGCGAAAAGCGAGCAGCAGCGACACGTCAATTTTGACCACAAGCACATGCGCAACATTATGACGATTTGAAGTGAAATGGAAAGGGGCGGGGTGGACGATAAGAATTTAGCAGCAGCAGCCGCCGCCACGGGGGAATTGGTGAAGAGTTCCTGATGATCGCACAACCATGGGACGACGACGGTGAAAAAGCGGAAGATGGTGGTGGCAGGTTACGGCTTGTGGAATCTGGAAAAGGGCAAGTTAAAAACGAATTCTGGCTATAATCTCGATATCTCGAATCCAGACAGGAATAAAAACCGTCTTCCAAAAACCCGACGCGGAGTAAGTGGACCGAGATTGTGATAAAAAATGTCAACAAAAAATCCCGTTTTTTATTGTTTTTCAACTTGAAATCTAGTCCAAATTTTACTAAATACACCATGAACAAACTTATTACTACGTTATTTATTACTTATTACGACATTTTTGGTCGTGAATCACGGAATATTTCACCCCACAAAAATTGTGAAACCAGGCGCACCTTGTAAACATTCTGCTATCCTCGTGCACGTCCATCTCGGTGGCCTTGAAATCGTTGAGCTCCTTGCGGATGAGCGCCTGAAAGGTGGTTTTGAAGGGAATGCGGTAAGTTTCGACTAAAACTTGTAAAGTAACTAAAAACGCACCTTGTCAGTGGGCGTCAACCGCGTCCAGGGCTTGTCGGCCTTTCGGTCGTACACCTCGGCCTCTGTCACCTGGAAAATCTCGCGGAAATCGCAGGAGAACAACAGGGTATTACCTCGACGTAGTCGTTGAACTGGATGATTTGTTGGTCTTTCAGCTGCTGGATGGTTGGGCGGAAGGAGAGCTGAAAAAAAACGATATTTGGATACGATTGAAAAAAGTTTATTTTCAAAACGTCGCGTTTCATGACGAAAAACAATGCCAAAAATTGTTGAAAATCCAATTGTCGATTTTCTTCGAATTTAGGGGTTTCCTGACGCAACGCAAAAAAATGACAAGTCCAATTTAAGAGGTTAGCGAAAGTCTTAAGCATTATTTTTGCAGTTCTGTTATTTGAAAATTTAAAGTTAAGTTCAAAGACGCTACCTTCCTGAGCAGCATCTTCCGCTTCTCCTCCATGCTGATCACGCGCTGGTCTTCGTCCCCACGGAGAATGTTGCGGTCGAGGAGCTCGGTGGCCGTCGGCCGCTCGCTCAGCTTGCGCAGCAACCTGGCCGACGCGCTGAAACAGCCAACTTTAATACGGGATTCCAGGCGCAACGTGGTGAGTGTGGGCACGCTTTCCGAGTAAGTTGGAGCGCCATGGCAGGGCCGAACCAAAAAAAAGACAAAGGGGTTTTTGCGGGGGTTTCAGGCGCAGTGCGGCCCCGGGGCACGGATCCTATTTCCATTAATTGAGGATCCGAACGCCCCTGGCCGCACCGAGAAAAGAAGGCGCTCGTAAGCGCGACAAGTCGACCGACACTACCTCCGCGTTTGCTCCCACGAATGGAAAAATATGTGAAGCCTAAAGGGAAGAAAGTCGAATTATGTTGGCTGCCAAAAAAAGATTACTGTGCTGTTTCCCGGGGAGGAAAAAATCAAATTTTTTGCTGTTTTGACATAGGAAATGGCGCTTTTTTTACCAAAAAGTAATTATGATCGATTGTTTCAGATTCTAGATCTCAATAACAACCGACGCTGAATGTTTTGTCTACTTTCACCCAATTTTCAAAAAATGAAAGCACACAAATACTTATCAAAGATCTAAAATGACGAGTTTTCTATCCAAAAACGAATCTTTTCGCGTTTTTCATATTAAGATTCAAAAAATGTAGTACTACACTTTAAAACGCTTTACCAAAAAACCTAGACCAAATTCGCCGCCACTTTTTTCCATCCAGGAAAATCGAAATACCAAAAACTATAAATAAATTACCTCTGCATGTTCTCCCTCCGCTCGTCGGCCGATTGCCCGTTGAAATCCTCTTGCTGGTCGAGGCGCAGGGCAAGCGTGTCTTTGCGCATCACCTTTGATGCCAGGCCACCAGCTGAAAAAAGTGGTTACAAAAATTCCCCCAAAAAACCCAAACCTATCGGCACATCGTCCTCGTCCTCCTCCTCAGTGCGACTTGCCGCGTTCGGGTTGACGGGTGGTTGTTGTGGAGGCGGCGGTGGCGGCGGGTCGTCCCTGTACTGGATCTCGCCGTCGCTGTCGCTGTCGTCGGTCAGCCGCGTGACCAGCCCGTCGTCGCCGATGACCGCCTTCCGCTCACCGCTCGTTGTTTTCTAAAAAAAACGATGATTTGTGATTTCAAAGCTCAGATTTCAAAAATAAAAATTCAACTGATTGAGAAAATTAAACTAATTTAATTTCAAATGTGACGAAACCAGTTATGCTCTATATTACGGACGGTGCGTTTTAAAAAATATAGTTAAGTAGTTTTCAGGGTCCAAGTATCAAAAAAAAGAGCGGGGGGGGAAACTCGGGTAAATTTTTAAACGGAAAATCGTCGAACCTTGGGCGAATTGTTGTTGGGCTGGCGGAGTCGGACTCGCGACGGCTGGCCGGGTCTTCGGAGCACCGGGCGAGTCGGGACGGCTTTCAGATCGGGCTCCTGGAATTAAAATTGTGAATGGGATAAAACGAAAATCAACGCAACGCTGGCCATTTTAACTTTACGAAATCCAATTCTCGAAAAATTTACCTTTGCCGCAATCTCCTCCATCACCCGCTGCGACGTCTGCTTCTGGTCCTTGACCCGCATCGAGTCGTCCTCGTCCTCGGTCTCGGTCTCCTCGCCGTTGAACAGATACTCGATGCCTAGAATCAACTTGGTAACCTTGGTAAATTTTGTTTGTGCCTATTTCTTTAATTCTTTTTGATTTGAATGGCTCTCATTTCCGGGACTACCTCGCAGTTTGCGCCGGACCATCCGGCGCACCTTGGTCACCCAATCCCAGCCGCGCTCGTAGAACGAGTCGCGGATGAGCAGCGGCAGCTCAAAGTACGGGGGCTCCAGGTAGACGACGCCGACTTTCCGCGAATTTGTCGGGTGATCATTCTCGCTCATCAAAAAAGACTGAAGCAGCTTCGGGTCAAGGGCGAAAATAAAGCTTTAAGAGAACGAGGAGGAGGAGAAGGATCAGTTAAAGGGGCGTCAAAGAACTGCCGAAATTCGTGATAATTTTCGAAAACTGTAGATAAGCAGTAGATTACCAAAAATCCCAGTTTCTCGAAAATTTTTATAAGTTTTTCATGAATTTTGAGATCTAAGACAGGGTTCGATCATGTGGGCCAGGATTCCCATGACCACCTCCAGGTCGGCCGACCACCTCCAGTTTGGCCGCGAAGCGGCGAAAAAATTTTCGATGCTTTTGCACCTAGGGATCCGCAGGTTAATACCGCCCGCTGTTAATTAAGCCAACCCCGAGCCAAATTATATGTCTATTTCGGCTCAAATTCACCGTTTTTTCCTCCCTAAAAAACTATCTAATAAACAATATTTTTGTGTAGTAGATCAAAATGTTGGCATAAAGCGTCTCTATCACATGTCAAAAGTTTAAAACCGTATCTTATTATTTTGACAACCTCCAGGCCCATTATCGACTGATTTTGGCCGAAAAGTGCGATTTTTGGATTGCCAAAAATTCCGTTTAAGGAAAATATTTTTGTATTGTACATCAAAATGTCGGCATTAACGATGGTTACAACATATAAAAAATTCAAAACGATTACTTATTATTTTGACAACCTCAGGCACTTTATTGCTAATTTTGAGCAAAAATGCGGTTTTCGGTTTCGACAAAATCGCCCTATCGAAAATATATTTGTATTGTACGTCAAAATGTCGGCATTCAGAGCCTCTATAACATATCAAAAGTTCCCAACGACATCTTATTATTTTGACAACCTCCAGACCCTTTTCCCAGTTAACCCAACGCTGGATTTTCCGGGCCCCTGAAAAAAAGTAAACCTGGAGGTCATATCTAAAATCTTCCTGAGATCGATTTTCCCCAAACTAAAGGCTGCCATCCATAGCTAAGCATACGATCTTATTTGGGTGAAATTTTTTAACCGGATCGGTTCAGTAGTTTTCGAGAAATCCCACTTCGAAAAAAAAAGTTATGGGAAAAGGCATGGGAGGCCATTTTAAAGAAACGCTTTTTACTCAAAAACTTTATATTAGCGTCCCAAATCTTTTTTACTCCTCTTATCTCCTAGGTTCTTCCGCATCCATTGCCATCTTGCGTTTTTCCTTGCCGCGTCTATCAACCGAGATAACCTCATGGGAAGCATGGGTTTTTAATGGGAAAATCTACCTGGTTGCCAAAATAGCTATTTCCACCCGGTGTTTGACCCCATTCTGCATTTTAAACTTTACAGAGGTCTTTCTGATTCATTCTCTAGCGATTCCGATCGATATTTTTCAAAAAGCAAAAAATTTGTCGCGGCGGGGATTCGAACCAGGGACCCTTGACTCGTCAGTTTCTACTTACACCCCGGACGCATTCTCATTTTAAACCTTCCAGATGGCTTCCCGATGGATTCTCCCGTAATTCGGTTCTATATTTTCCAAAAAGCAAAAAAAAAGGTTGCGGCGGGGGTTCGAACCCGGGATCCCTGACTCGTTGCCTTCTTTTATGATTTCCTACAGCGTAGCGGGCGCGAAATTTTTTAGGCTTTTTTTGACCACCTCCAGGCTGGTTGACCACCTCCGGGCGGCCGACCGAATTTTTTCCCATGCTAATCGAACCCTGATATAAGAACTGTGCAAAATAGCAAGGGCAAACTGGTTGTTTATCCTGTTATCGGGCCGTAAAGAATTACTCGGAAAAACTAATTTCCACCCCCACTAACAGCCCAGTGCCGATTTGGCGTCACCCGACACGCGCAAGCAGTTCGGCCGTGTCAGCGATTCGGCGGCGATTCCTAACCCATTACGCAATAAAAACACGAGCGTGAGCGTTGCGTGTCGCGACAGGATCCATAAGGAAGACAAAGCCAAGAAAATCCCTCGTCAGCCTTTGCCGGCCCCTTTAACGGTGTGAGCCTTATCGCGATAAAAAATTGCAGCCCGGGCCAGACGAGAATTATTTCCCGGAAAAGAGGTGTTCAACGAGGGTGAGGGCTTCAGCTCGAGCGGCCCGTGTGTCCGGCCGGTGTGCTGAGTGGATGGATGAGGCGCATCCCGTGGGGAATTTCCGGGCCAAAGGGCCGATATGCCCCCGTCGGCCAAAATGGGCTGAATAGACGGCCAGGGGGGATGAGGGCGAATCGGATTGCTCAACTCGGCGATGAGGAGCAGCAGCTTGGGATTCTCACCGGAAAACTGGTCAGGAAGCGGAAAAGGGCGTTTTTGGCGGACAGTTTTTCCAGGGCAACTAGTATAGAGAAAAATTTTTGAGCAAGACCGTGTTTTCCAGATTTGCTACCAGAATGTCGAAAATCATAATGCCGAAATTCTATAATGTCGAAATTCTACATTTTTTGCGTAGGATTCGGGGGGTTTTCCTGGTAATTTCGACATCATGAAATTTCGGCATTCTGAATTTCCACATCATGAATTTCGAAATTTCGACATTTTACGACGTCGCGGTATCCTAGCAGATTTTTAAAACGCTAACTTCCTTATAAATATTTTTTCTAGTGAACTAGCTCACTTTCATGCAACCAAAAAAAAACCGCCTAAGAAGCCTTTAGAAAAAGTGCTACAAGAAATGCCCCAATCCACTTTCGCAAAATATCACGAATCCAATCAGTAAACAAAAATTCGTCGCCCTTCAAAATAGCACAATACGGTCGCGCACGGCCCGCCAAAATATGCCCCTGCAAATTGGTGATTGTAAACCTGGGATGGCCCGAAAATTTGGGAAAATCTCGAAATCGCCGTCCCTGAAAAGGGCACCACAATGGGCATCAGCGAGAAAAAAACTGGTTCCCCGGCAATGAGGAGGAGCCTCAAGTCGACTGAAGTGGCTGCAGGGGCGAGCGCGTCGCAACAAGCACTTTGGATTTCTATTTATTGCTAGGCATGGGTTCCAAGCAAAACGCGTGGATTTTTGAAGGGCGAGTGGTTGTGGTTTGGAGTTAGGAGCCTAGAAAAATTCAGGAAAGTCTGAAGAACCTATCGAAAAAATCGAAAATATTCCCGGATTTATGGCTCGGCTGGGACCGATTAGTCGTATTGAAAACATTAAGCTATTTGCCGGGAAGCTCGACTATTTTCTTTCGCTGATTTTTCATCACGTCGATTCCATGAAATTGGCTGCCCATTTTAACTGCCATTAATAAAAAAGTACTTTTCGCCTCTCTAGCCAAAAAAAGTAAAAAATATGAAATTGTTCAGCTCGATAGAAAAATCGGCAAAATGAACGTAAAAACGAACCCTTCAAAATTAGATGCCCTGCGGCAGCTCAAAGATTAAAAGCGCACCGGCCCGGAGGCGACTCATCCCCCGGGCCCATAACAGCGGGTCAGGGCCACCGCCAGGGGCAGCCGTGTAGGAGCCCGCAGGGAAGAAGTGAGAAATTGCCCCCTTACACGCCACAACATACCGCCTTCAAAACGCAATGTCGGCCGCAAAATGGGTCCTCAAATGAGCTCGAGCTTTACGAGGCCGGGGAGCATTCGCAGCATTACCGATTAAAGTGCTATGACCAATTATAGGCGAGAGCAGCTTGCGGAATTCGAGGCGCATCTTTTTTCAAGGCTGAAGCTCTCGTTAAAGGGATAGGGAAGGAAGGCAAGGCTCCATAGTCTTTATCTTCCTTTCAACGTTCAAGCCCACAATTAAAATGTGGTTTTCAATTCTAGGCGAGAAAATATGGAAAGGGCGGGCATCCCGGGGAGGCGTTTAGTTGAAGGCGCTCGTTAATTGGTCTGCAAAAAAATGGTAGCCGCGGCGAGCGAAAAGTTTGGAACGCTGCAATTCCGCTAGCGATAGGGCGGGCCAAGTTCTGGCTCTATTAAATTCAGCGGCGGGGGGGGAGCATCATAGCCCCCCGGGGGTCCGTTGGCCATAATTTCGAGGGGCCGAGAATATGGAGGGGGGAAGGGCGCGTCTCCGGGCGGCCGGGAGCGCCCTTTTTCTCATTTCACACATCATACTCGTGTGCCCAGGGGGTGAACGACGAGCGGGGTCGCGAGCGGAACCCGATGAATATTCACGAAGCGCGCAAATCGTCTCGGCTGGTGTGGGGCACCGGATGGAGGAGCGTGGTGGGGCTAATTTTTTTGGCGTTGCTAATGGGAGTGGCAAGGCAAAATTCCGGCAGACAAATTTACAAATATTGAAGCGGGCCACAAAACCGGAAACTCTGGGTTGCCGCTAAGCTAGAGTATAAAATGGCGCCGCTTTTTTTCAGGATTAACGGGTATTACAGGTATTTAAAGACTTAACGGGGGGAAGCCCAGTTTTCAAAGCTATTTGGGACCAAAAAGAATTCCTCGTCAAAACTTTCCTCGTTTGATTTTTCAAAATAAAAAAGCTGAGAAGAATTTGGGAGTGACAGTTTCGCACGGGGAAACAAAAGACTATTTTTTTTATTTTAGAAAAAAGCCGGGTTTCCTTGCCCTTTAAAGCTTACGTTGACTAACCTACTTACAAATTTTTGAAAATCCAATGCCGACACTAAAAAACCCCGGGAATTTTTGGGAGCCAAAGTTTCGAACCGATTAAAAATAATAACGGTTTTTTACTTTTAAATAAAAGCCAGGCTTTAGTGCACCTTTAAAGCTTATTTACTAACCTACTTACACTACTAAATTCTGCAAATCTAATGCTCACAATCAAAAGAAAAACGAAAAGCCGGGGAAGACAATAAATTTGTCGGCAGGCTCGGCGAGACCCACCCCAAAAATTCTGCGCCATTCATCTGCCCGAGCGGCCGATCCCTAATTACGCCAAAGGGCAGGTGGATCTCCCACGATGCCCAAAAAAAGGACAAGATGGCATAAAACCCCCGAAGACGGCCCCGAACACACGACTACTAGAAAGAAATTCCCAAGGCGAACGGGCGAGGCAGTGCCGGAAATGAGTTCCACCATTTTTGCTCCCAAACAAAAAAGAAA